CCCTTTTGTTGCAAAACGACCGATGTGGCCAAAAGTGGCTAGACATGCAAGATTTGGCTGCGAACACGAAGCCAAGAACTTAAGACTCGCTAGGAAGACCGGACCCTATGTGAGTTGCCTACGCATCCCGCCCCGAAAGATGAGAATCAGGTATGCGTAGTTCGGGAAGATTGGATACGGGAGAGAACTAAAAAAAATAACTGATTTGGAGAAAATATATTTTTTGTCTTTTTTTTTTAAAAATGATGGGAAAGGATTTTTTATTTTCATTTTTTTTGGTTTTTCTTGAAGAAGTTGGGAAAGAAAAATATAACTGGCTCCTACTTGCTTCATTTTTTTACTTCACCCTCTTTCCTTTCTCATTTACCCTCAACCATCAATGGTCCACCAAATGACCCCTTTTACGCTTAAAGAATGTAGCATGTAGCACATAGGGATGATTAAATGTCTTTTTGGGCCACGGGCCCATTTTTACATAATTTGGATTGGCCTCCTACGGAGAGACAAGGTGCATGGAACTGAGCCCTGCTAGGTCTAAATGACATGATGCAAATAAGAATGACCTAAAGGCTGACCTAAGTTTAGGGTTCACTAGACAAGGCAATTCGGGGCGGCACGTGGTCGATGGCGGCTGCTTTAGTTGTCCGTCCACTCCACGCTCCCACGCCACCCCCTAAAGACGGATGACTCAAAAAGGGCCGTGTACGCTCAAACGTACTCCAGAAGACTTGTTGCAGAAAGAAGACTCATGGTTATGCAAATGTTGACAGTTTATAAAGCAGTAAACACATAAGGAAAAACGATAAATAAATAAACAATAAAACAGGAAATTGCCAACAAATCAACAAAGAAACAAATCAAGTATCAATCAAGCAAACAAAAAAAACAAACACCTCAATCGAATATCCTAAAGAGCCAACAAATCAAGTATCAATTCGAACCTGCAAATCCCCAGCAGAGTCGCCAAAGCTGTCACACCCCTTTTTTCACCTTAACTAACCCTCTTTAAAATAATAAAAATATTTTTAAAGCTCAAAAGGGTTTCATTTAGAAAGTGACAAAATTTTGTGTTCAAAAGATTTTTCAGAGTCGCCACCTGACATTTGGTTTCGGTGTGTCAGGTCACCGTTTTTAGAAATAATTTGTTCTTTTGAAACACGTTTAGACTCTAAAACTGATTGCACCAGAGATTTTAGATAAGGGGGTTCATTTGACTCGGGGAGAAGGTGTTAGGTATTCCCCGAGTCCGTAACTAGTACGGTTGCGTACATGATCAAGTTCTCTTTAGAGTGTTCGAATTGAGGTAAAAACACACAAAAAAGAAGAAAATAAACATAAAAAAGGTTCGAGGTCGTCCCTTCCTAATAAATAAAAGAAAATGAAATAAGATAAATCTAACTATCCTGTACTACGCCTCCAATGATGATTCTGCCACGGCCTTCGTTACATTTACCACGAGGTATACCTCGGATAAAAATATAAGTCCTTCGGCGCATTCTCCGAATAAATTTAACTAAAGGAACGACCTTTCGCCTCAAAACTAATAAAACGTCCTAATATTGCCTACCTAAGTGTGGTTGGCCTAAGTCATGCTCCTGGCGTTCAATGAAAGAGCTAATAATAACTAAATAAAAATATTAATACAAGTCGCATTAGACATAATTATGTTTTCTTTCAATTTTCAATTCCACGACCCTTTTAATTCAACTCAACTAATTAGTTCACTTTCCTCCTTTAATTGATTCATGAGATAGTCCAAATCAATCACAATAAGCAAATTAAATTCCAGATATTAATTAAGATAAACATCGCATTTTCGATAATGAAACATATACGAACTTCAAATCATTTGAAAGAGAACATCAACAGAGACATACCAACAAACAATCACATAATAAAATTAAAGGATTTAAGAGAGAGAAAAGGGATTGGACCTCAATCGATACTATAAACCACAGAACCAAATCAGGGGGACGAGTTTGGACCGGATCCTCGTACGACACCTCTACTCTATGGCGAAATCAATCCTCGAACCTCAACCAAAATCCCGAATCCGAAAAAGAGAGTACGAGGGCGGCGGCGGCGGAGGAACAGAAATCCACCAACAAACAACACCGGAACCACAAGCTAAACTTTAATATTGTGCTACCTCAAAATCCCGAATGCAAATCACAATCTGAATAGAAGCAATTGGGGTTTGTGATAATGATTGACACTATCTGATTTTGACTTGTTTGGTGCTTTAAACCGTAGCAGCACCTTTTAATTTCATCAAAATACATGACCGAAAAACATGCTTCTATACTAATGAAATTGCAGAAGCTTGTTCGTTAAAGCAACCTGTTGATGAAGGTGTTAGTTGTTTTAGGCTCTTTTTTTGTTGTTCGTTTTTTCTCCTGTTAGGTCCTCGCTATTTTTGCCGTTTTCCACTTATCTGTTCTGTTTCTTTTAAATTCCCTTCCCCCCGTTTCCCTTTTTTCTCACCGTCTCCTCTTTCTTTGCAGGTTGCGGCTCTAGAATGGAGGAGTTAGATTTTGGGTAAAAATTGCTTTATATGTGGAGTGGGGAAAAAATATGGACCATTGGATTAATGAAGAATAGATGGCTAAGATTAAAAGAATAAAAATAGGGCGGGTCAATGGATAGGGTCGTGGGTCATAGAGGTTAAAAGGTGATTGGGCTGTTGGGTTGTCTAACTTGGGCCTCTTGGAAGAATCCGATTTGGGCTCTACAATTCAACAAAATTAGTTCAAAATTGGGCTTCTTAAAAGTATGAAATTCATTAACCAAAAAATCTAAGTTTTCCTCTTTTATAAAATTATAAAGTACTTATAAAATGTAATATCACCCTTTATTAATTAGAATAAACTATAAACAAAAAACTAACTATTAAAAATAAAACTATTTTGATATTTTTAAAGATTATGCTTAAAATAAAAGTCAAGAAAGGTAGAGCATAGCAATATTAAGATAATATCGCTACAAGAATACTTATAACCTTAATAAAATAGAAATAAGGAAATTTAAACTATTTTTGTGTTTTCAATTTTATGTTTTAAAATTAAAATTAAAGATAAAAATATACTGAAATTTTATAAAATCAAATAGATACTAACAATTACGTGCTTACATTACCCATTACCCATACCCGAAAAACAAACTTCAAAAGCTTCTCATCAATGGCTACTATGATTAGAAATAATAAACAAATTGCGTTTCCAATTCCTTTGACTATTCCTAAAGCAAAAGTCTTTACCTGTGGATTGTGGTTGTTTTAGATCAGTGCAAAAGCCTTTTTAATCATGGTAGTCATTTTTTAATTTAAAATCCATCATTTTAAGCTTGAGATACATAATATTTTACATATCTAATACTACTTGTACTAAATTATTCATGAAATTTACACAAAATTAGAGTTATCCCGTCGAATCATTAATACATTCATACAACATAGCCTTCAACTAGAGTAGGCTTATCAGTTCGTTCTTCTTCCTCCTTCTCTTTACTTCATTTTTATTTCCGCCTTTGCCTCTATTAAGACTTAGATTTTATCAGAGAGTATTTCAATATTACATTGTATGTTAGATTGTGTCTGATGCTACAGTTAAAGATTGCGGGTTAAAGCCATGATCTTAGGGATACACTCTTGAAATTATGTCTCTAGCTTTGTGTATATATTCTAGGTGTAATCTATCATTTGCAGTATGAAGTGAAATACACTTACATCATTCACCTGGTATCAGAGCCTCTACGATCTCGATAGAGACTCAAATACTTTTTTCGATTGCTTTTTCCCGCAGTCACTTCTCCGGTGGATTTTTTCGACCACCTTTTCCGGTTGCCTTTTTTTTCGGCATCCATTTCTTCGACGGATTTTTCCGGCCATCTCTGACTTTTATTTCAAATACATGAGGGTTGACCATTTATTTCGTTCTTACCCGTCACATTCGCTAAAATCTCCGAAGTAGTTTATGGTCAGATCTTATTACCCTCTAACCCGACTCTATTAGTTAGCTCCTTTCCCGGCCAGATCTTGTGATTTTGGTGAGAGGAAAAGAAAAGTATTCTGTTGAGTCTTGATTTAGTAGATTACTTGAGAGGGGATTTTTCGTTTGAAGCAGAAGAGTAAAATTTTGGTTTTGAAAAGCTTTTTCAAAAGTAAAGCTTTCTTTATTTTAAGTCATACTTTATTACTTAGTCTTTACATGTGGGGGCCATTCTTACAAGTTTTCTTGCCCAACAAAGTCTTCTATTTCATTACACAGTGCTCTTACTTCTGTCCTCTTTCCCAAATTATTTTGTACCCTTGTCTTCTTGAAATTTAATATCAAAATGACAGGTGAGTCATCCACAGCAGAAGAAGTCAAACCATTTTTCTCTTCAATTTCGAATACTTCCACTATTACTACTGCTAAATTACAAGGTAGTAATAATTACTCACCATGGTATTCTTCAGTTGAGATGTGGTTTATGTGACAGGGATATGAGGATCACTTAGTCAAAAATGCTAGTGAAATTGGCACTAGTGAAAAGACTAAGTGGACCCGAATTGATGCATAATTATTTAATATTTTATGGAACTCTTTGGATCCTAAATTACTCAACTTGTTTCAATCTTGTAAAACTTGCTATAAATTTTGAACTAAAGCTAAAGCTTTGTACACAAACGATATACAACGAATATACAAAGTAGTTTCAGATTTAGTCCAACTTCAGCAGAACAATCAAGATATGACGAGTTATTTAGGACTAATAGATACCTTGAAAGATCAATTTGAACCACTCATGCCACTTATTGCAAGTGTCAGCACCCAGGAGCAACAAAGAGATAAGTTTTTTATGGTTTTGCACTGAAAGGACTTCGATCTGATCTCAGCCCTGTAAAGGATCAGATCTTGACAAGCTCTGTAGTTCTTTCATTAGTTGAGGTTTCAGCTTGACTATTGCGTATTGGTAAAGAAACACTTGATACTAATAAAGTGGAGACATCTGTATTAGCTATGCAAAATGAAAATCCACAGGAACAAAATGTCTCTCAAAGAGGAAAAGGTAAAAGCACTAGACCCTACTGCAGTTACTGCAGCAAGCCAGGCCATACTCGACAAACTTATTGGAAACTGCATGGTCGACCATCACGTAAAAACAATCGCAGTACAACCCACATGGTTCAAAATGGTTATGAAACAGATGATCAACATGCTGATTTTAATACTTTATCTGGAGTGGATTATAGTGATTACCTGCAGTATCAAGCGGCTAAACAACAATCACTCTCATCTGGCACCTCAAAAACTGGTAATTCCTTTGCTTGTCTGAGCAGGTCTTCACCCAATTACTCATGGATACTGGACTCTGGTGCATCTGACCATATCTCCAGTAATCAGAATCTTTTTTCAAACCTTATTCCTTCCTCAACCCTCTCTGCGGTTACCCTTGCTAATGGCTCGCGAACTGCAGTAAAAGGAATAGGAGAAGTGCAACTTCTTCCCTCTATGTCTATAAACTCAGTTTTATTTGCTCCAGAATGCCCATTCAATTTGATTTCCATTAGTAAATTAACCAAAAGTCTTAATTGTTCTGTCACTTTTTTGCTAACTCTGTTGTTGTGCAGGACTGGAGAACGGGGAAGACGATTGGAACATGGTATGAGTCATAGGGACTATATCATATGTCCAGATCACAACCACCAGTTGCCTTCACTTCCGCCGTGTTAGCTGATCTACTCCACAGCCGTTAAGGCCACCAAGTCTTGCAAAGCTTCAAAAATTAATTCCCAGTCTTTCCACATTTTTTTTGAATGTGAATCTTGTCAGCTTGGGAAACACCTCTGTTTGACATTGTTCACTCAGATGTTTGGGTTGGGGTCCTAGCCGTGTTGTTTCACGTTTAGGATTTCAGTATTTTGTTACCTTTATTGATGACTTCTCCCATTGCACATGGGTATTTTTAATGAAAAATCGTTCTGAATTGTTTTCTATTTTTCAAAACTTTTGCGTTGAGGTAAATAATCAATTTGGTGTTTCAGTAAAGTATTACGTAGTGACAATGCAAAAGAGTATTTATCATCCCCCTTCACTAGTTTCATGTCATCTCAAGGAATTACTCATCAAACTTCTTGTGCATATACTCCTCAACAAAATGGAGTCGCCGAACGTAAAAATCGGCATCTCATTGAAACTGCTCGCACCTTACTTATACACCATCATGTTCCTCTTCGTTTTTGGGGAGATACTGTTGTCACTGCTTGCTATCTGATCAACAGGATGCCTTTTTCTATGTTGCAACATCAAAGTCCTCACTCAATTCTCTTTCCAGGTCAAAATCCCTATCATTTACCTTTGAGAGTGTTTGGATGTACTTGCTTTGTTCATGATCACAGTCCTGGAAATGACAAACTCCAACAAAAGTCAATTAAATATGTCTTTCTTGGATACTCTCGTTACCAGAAAGGTTATAAATGCTATGATCCAAAAGCACATAAATGTTTGATCTCTGCGGATGTAACCTTCTTTGAGACATCTCCCAATTTTTCACTAAACACTACAAATAGAAATTTGATGCCTCAAGTTTTTCCAGTGCCTATATTTCCTGTACCACAGGTTAGTCTTCCAGACAGACCTCAAGGCTCTCCTCCTCCTCTCCAAGTATACTCCCGTGCCCGTCCTCTAGCTAATACTAATGATAGCACTACACCTGATCTTGATACATTGGTAGCTCCCGGTGACTCATCTCTTGCTCCAAAGTCACCTGCTCCAGTCATGCCTTCATCAGATGCAGTAACTCCACCAATTGCCATACTCAAAGGTATACGCACTACTCAGAAGAAAAACAAAAGAAAAAGGAAAACAAAAGAAAAGGAAAGAATTAGGTAATTGAACAAAAGGCTTAATTTTGAATTTTTTGGGCTGATTTTAGTGCCAAACCCGTTCCGAATTTACCCAAGTCCAAGCCCAAATCGCCAGCCTACCCGGTCCAACCCTGATGAGATGAAACGACGCCGTTTCCTGTTCTTTCAATCACAGCCGTTGGATTCTTTTGATCCAACGGCTCCGAACTGGCCTCTTAATTACCACATAACTGTCCTAAAACTAGTCACCCCCCAAACCCCTAAGCTCAGTTTATTTCTTTTCTCTCACACTCCCAGATAAGAAACCCTAGCCGCCCCATCTTACCTTCGTCGTCTCCGCTGTGGTCCGCCGACTGGAAATCGCCTCACGGCGGCGGACCACCTCCAAATCTCCCCAAATCAACAGCCCAGAACCCCCATCATCTCCCCTTTCCGAATCTCCTAACCAATTTCCCCAAATCCTTCTTAAACCCTTCGAATATTAGATCGAAATCAGAATCACCAAAATCCTAGTTTACCCAAATCACTCCAAATTCACACCCTATAATCCTTGCACCCCTCTGGACCCTAAACCACCATTAGTCCCCTTCGAATCAGCCTCAATCTCCTCGAATTTTGAATCTAAGGTCGTGAGAACCCTAACCTTCTTTCACTTCCAAATTTTCGGCATTTGTTGGGGGGCCTTTGAACCCAAAGACTTCCATGAATCCATTGCCCTTGATAAGAGCAGTCGATTGATGGTTGTCTAAAGTTCATATTTACCCTGAAGATTTGGGTCAGAATTCCGAGTAAGGCCAGTGTTATGGTTGAGAGGAAATGAGCAATAGGTATTTTCTTTTACTCTTTCTTTAGTTTTCTTTTGCCTTTTTTGATTCCCCTTCATGATAATTGTTTTTGATTTAGCCGTATAATTTAGGTCTTCTTTTCTGTCTATTAGCTTCGTTAATTGCATGTTTCAAGATTTCATTAATTAGAAATTCAATGTCGCCTAGGTTCAGATTGTTTAGGTTGGAATAATTAGGTTTAGTTTCTTATGATTCGCCTATTCTGTTTCCCCTTTTTTTAATTTTTATTTCTTGCTGTTTGTCTGGTTTTGTTTGTTTTTTGTTGTTCTTGCAAAGTTTTGTTAAGGTAATTAAGATGGTGCTAAAAGGTTAATCAATAGCCTATTTAGCCAATTCCTGCTTACTTTAGCTTTAGCCGGATTCAACTTCATTTCATTGTTTTGAATTTAGCTAGTTTTGATTCTTGGTTTTCTTGGCCTAAGCATGCTGGATTTCAGTAGTTCTTTGAATCTGAGTTGATTACCTACATGTTTTGATTGATTAGGATTAACTGATTTTAACTTTAGATTTGAACCTCTGAGTAGCAGTTTACACTTTAGTTTAATTTCAGAAAATGAAATGCAATACAATTAGGCAACCTAATCACTTAACTAAAGGTCTTAAAATGATTGTAATTGATTTGAAATCAGAACATAGGGCAAACCTGAGATAGTCAGTAATTAAAAGGGTAAAAATGGACTTTTACATAGGCTAATATCAGAATCTTCTAGACTTTCCACAGTTGTCCCCATCCTTAGCCTAAAATGCTGGTATTGGATAAGGAAAAGGACAGACAGCTGTAAAAAATGCTGTACTATTCTGATTTTTAGAATTTTTCGGTTAGGATATTCCTTTTTGATGCTTTTTAGTGCACTCTATAAAAGGAAAACATTCCCCCACTCACACACAGACTCAGCATTATTCTCTGCACAAAAGTTCTCTCTTCTTTTTTGAAAAAAGATCAAGATTTCAGAAATTTTAGAAAACATCCAAAACTTCTTATTCTTGGTTTTCACAAGCTGGGAAATATGGTTTGAAGTGGAGGATTTCCTTGGTTCCTTTACCTGGATTTTCTGATTTCGAAGCTGGTTTTGATTTGATTTAAATCTATGGGTTATTTTTGGGTTGTTGCTGCTGTATTTTGCTATTGTTTCCATCCAGTTTTCAGAGAGCTATTTGCTTTTATTGTCTATTTTGCTGATAAAGGTACACATCTGGGACTCACATGCTTGACTTGGGTTCACTTATGTGATTTCTTATGCTTTATGTGTTTGTCATGATGTAGTATTCATGTAAAGTTGTAAGTGTTTTGAAATGGACATCTATTTTTGACACTCTGGCTGCATTACTATTCTCTGTTTACCTGATTATTGGTTGGTTTTTTTTGGTTGCTGTTGTTCAAGATACTGAATTCAAACATCCTCCCTGTATGTGTGGTTATAAGGTTAATATAAATTAAGTTTGTAAAATTGTATG